GACTTGTGGGCTTGGGCAGCATTGGGTTGGGATGTTTTCGTGATGCACCTTTTCTTTACATAAAACTCTCTTATACGTGAGTCGCCGTGGATTTGTTTCTCCAAAGTACCCAGACTAATACAGTGGGTTTTGTTGTCTCTCAGCTAGATGGTGCTTGTTTATCTTCAGGTCTTTAAGGCTTCAGGTGCTATATCTTTTGGTAGCTGAGCACCATCAGCTTTCTTCACCACATTTTCTTGTGCACCCATTGTCTTCAGCGATAATGTCAGGTAGGTGAGCATCTCAGACTGCCTAATTGTTAAAACAAAGTGTTCTTGTGTTGGGGGAGCACTTGTGTAGAGGCCCACTGTCCATCTGTTTTCTTAATACTCGACCTATAAATATTTGTACATTGATCTATTTCCCCCTCATCATATATAAATATATTTACATCTTTGTATGCCTGTATTTACATCTCTATGACTACCCTTTGCCTCCTAGTTCTTTCCTCTGTTTCTTTGTACTTTCCTCTTGTCCCACTATCATGTTCTGCCTTCATTTGGGTTTTAGGCATTCCTCGCGGTTACATTGCCCTTGATCCAGCCCTGCAAGGCCTCCTGCACCCTTCTTGACATTGATTTTGGATCACTTGTTGTTCCCTTGTGCCTGTGCTTGTAAACACCCTTTTCCTTCCTCACCCCTCCCCTACCCCCATGCTCCCCTAATCTGTCATCCCGTTGTTCTCTCTTCTGGACTCTCTTTTAATCCAACTTACCTGGTGATGTAACAAGTTACAAATCAGGGTCAGCAGTTCGAAACCACCAGTTGCCCCTTGGTAGGAAGATGAGGCTTTCTTCTCCCGTCAAGACTTAACAGTCTCAGAAGCCCACAGGGACATTTCTGCCCTGCCCTAGAGGGTCGCTGTGAGTCAGCATCAGCTCCAGGGCAGTGAGTTTGGTTTGGTCTTGAACCCAGTCACCGTTAGGTGACCCTCCGCCCCAACCCCTGGCATCCCGGTGTGTGCCGGGGGAGAACTCATCCCAGGGCTTCTTCGGCAGCTGGATTTGGGAAGCCACTGTGATGGTCAAGCTTCGTGTTACGTCTGCAGCCGGGGGGTCTGTCCGTCCGGCTCATCGGCCTCCCTCTTTGTCCCAGCCCCTGCGCTTTACCAAGCATGCTGCCCTTCTCCAGGGAGTGGTCTCTCCTGACCACAGGTCCAAAGTGCGTGAAAGGAAGTCTCGCCGTCCTCGCTTCTAAGGAGCGCTCCGGCCGCGCTCCTGCAGGACAGAGCTGTCTGTGCAGTGGGCCGGCCTGGTCCTCCCGACCTTTTCCAGCGCCACGTTCCAAAGGCCCCGGTGCTCCTTTGCTCTCCCCTCCTCAGTGTCAGCTCTCACACGGGTGGGAGGCGTGGAAACACCACGGCTTGGGGAGAGACAGCCCCCTGCCTTCGCTATCCCAGGATGGGGCCAAAGACTCAAGTCCACAGTGCAAGAAGAAAGATTTGGGGGTGGGGTGGGGGGAGATCTGGATGACCTAAGGGCCCACCCAGTCCACTGTGTACCAAGCCTGCCCCGCTCTTCCCAGCCGGGCCAGAGCATCCAGTTGTGCCTCGGCACAGGCTCCAAGCTCCGAAGGTTCCTGTCTAAAAGCCCTTCGCTGTCTCCACAGCCCCCAGCGCGCCCGGCTCCGTCAAGTTCAGCGAACTGACCACCACCTCGGTGAATGTGTCCTGGGAGGCCCCCCGGTTCCCCAACGGCATCCTGGAGGGCTACCGGGTGGTATACGAGCCCTGCACACCCGTGGATGGTATGTGGGGGCTCTCACTCTCCTCCACCCTTCCCAGCTGAGCCCGCATGGTGGGGCTCTCATGCACGTGAGCCCGTCTCTGTCTTACGCATGGGGAAACTAAGGCCCAGAGAAGGGGAGGAAGGGGCATTGGCACCCTGGAACAGCAGCCATGGCCACCCAGCCCCCAGGAGAAGAAAAACAAGCCCCTGGTGGTTGAGTCTGTCATAACTCACAGGTGGCAGACCAGAACCCCTCCCTGGGGTCTCCCTGGGTCTCATCCTTACCAGTCACCAGGCCCTTCCTCCACGACACCCCGGGGATATTCAAACCGCTAGGTCAGGGGCATGAAGCCTCCCAGGGGTCTTCCCTCCCAGGCAGGGGCATTTCAGATACCTCTTTACCCTTCAGTCAGCAGGAGTCGGGAGGGAGAGGAGGGAGAAGCTGGGTGCCACAGCCCCCAGGGGGCCCAGAGGCCCTCTCCTGGCCCCTTGGGGGCTCAGGACCCTCCACCGTAGAGCAGAGACCTCCCCACTCCTGGACAAATACACGTTAGGAGTCACCATACCCTGAAGCCCCCTGGGGATAGACCTCAGGTCCAGAGCCCCCTGCCTTGTCCGCCCCTCCTGCCCAGCCTCTGCCTCACCCCCTCCGGCTAGCCCCAGTCTGACTTGGCCTCCCTGAGTCTGGCTGTGGTCACTTGACCACTGCTATCCCTGGACTGGACCTCCCTGAGGGGGCTCCTCAGCCCTGCTTCCTCTCCCCACCCTGTGGAGCCCAGCGAGGGGCCCTGGTAGCCGCGTAAGCACCCATGGGTCTCTGCCTATCCCACTCCCCGGGGCGGGGCCCACGTTCTGGGTCAGCCAGTGAACAATGGCTTCTCAGTCTCCCTGCTGCCACCTGAGCACCTGCGTGTCACAACACAGCGGGAAGCAGGGCGGAAGCTGGCAAGAAGGCGAGGTCAGCGGTCACAAAGACAAGGTGTGGGGTTGAGCGGGGACAGTCTGGTCTAAATGTAGAGCATGCTGCCGTCTGGTGACTCAGTGAATGAAGGGGGTCTGTCCCGAGGCCCCTTGCCAACCTCCACCCACCCCAGGGGTCCTGTCCAACCCGGGGCTGCCCCTCGATAGGACCATCCAGCCCCGGGAGGTGGCCAGACAGTGACCAGCCTGCCAGTCCGGGACATCCCTGTTCATGCTGGGCCCAGGTCAGCTGCAAACAGACTTCTCAGGGAACCAACCACTCCCCTTTCATGAGGGAAACTGAGGCATAGGCAGATACAAGATTTCTTCAGAAGGTGGGGGAGCTGGAACTGGGTTCAGGTACCGGGGTGGGGAGGACTCATCACTCCTCAGGTGATCCCTGGAGTCACCCATGCTGTCACCTTGAGTAACCTCGCTCCGCAGAGGGACCCAGCTCCTGCCGGGGGCCAGGCACCCCGCTGTTTGCTTACCCCCAACAGCCCCAGCCAGGACACTCTGGGTACCTCACCCAGAGGCCCGCCTGCTGCCTGGCCCGACCTTGACACCCAAGGGTGGGAGCTGCAGCTCAACCAGGCCCTGGGCACACTGGCCCCTGCCATCTGCCCAGGCCTTCCTCCCCAGCAGTTGGGGTTAGGGGAGCAGAAGCACCCCGAAAAGGCCAGGGGTAAGCACCCAGGTCTGGCCAGCACGGAGGACGGAGGAGAAGCTCGGAAGCTGAGTGGCGGGTGGTCCTGGTCTGTGGGGCTGCTCGCCCCCAGGCCCTGCCTCGGGGGTCCCCACAAGAGCATGTCCTGAAAGATGATCTTGGGCTCCTCCTTCTGGGGGGTTCTCTGTGCCGCAGGGGGACTCCCTGGGGCAGCTGTTTTGGGGTACAGTGATTGAGTTCAACAGGACAGCGGGCTGTCTTTCCTGTCCAAGTGTTCAAAGCCCAGACAGACAGGCAATCCATCGCTGTCCCCAAACCCCATGGGACCACGGGTCCCGTTTTGCTCAGAGTGGCCCTCTGAGTGTCTTATGTCCCAAGAATCACGGAGTTGAGTCAGGAACACATGACCCAGCCAGCAAGGTAAGCACGCACTGACTTGTGCTTACTCACAAGTCTGTGGCAAACCGTTTCACGGGCTTTTCAACATGTGGTGTGGAATCAATCCTTCACTACAGAGGAGGAGGAAGGCACAAGTCAGCCCATGCTTACCTTGCCGACTGGGCCCTCTGCCCCTGTCAGGGGTGGTAACTTGGCAAAGCAGCCTTGGTGCCTGGCTGTGCCGAGCAGCAGCGTGCGGGACGTGGTGAAGACACATGTTCATGTTCACTAGAGGTTCATACGCACCTGCCAACCCGTGCTTCCCGGGCTGTTGGGTCATCGGACACTGGCTTGGGTAGACATAGCTACCCGCAGCCTGGCTTTGAGGGGGGAGACGGGAAAGGAAGATGCCCCCACCCTCCACCCCTGCCTGTGGAGCAGCCCCCGGGCTGCCCCTCCCACCCCGCCTGCAGTACCCTGGTCATGTGCCCCCAGGCGTCAGCAAGATCGTGACGGTGGACGTGAAGGGCAGCAGCCCCCTGTGGCTGAAGGTGAAGGACCTCGCTGAAGGCGTGACCTACAGGTTCCGCATCCGAGCCAAGACCTTCACCTACGGGCCTGAGATCGAAGCCAACGTCACCACGGGCCCCGGAGAAGGTAGAGGCCACAGGGCACTGGGGCAGCCCCCCTTCCTCCGGGCCAGGGAGCCAGGATCTTGTGGGCTGGGGGCGCCTGCCCCTTCCCTTGGGTGTTTCTTGGGGCTCCTTGTGAGGCGTGCAGATTCCAGGGCTCCCTAGGGCCCTGCACCTGGGGGTGCACATCCTATAAACAGCGGAGGTGCATTTTCATACTCTACTGTAAGCGAGGACCACCGCTCTGCAGAACCTGAGCCAGAGTGAGGGGCGGGGGTCCAGGGGGAGGACCGGCCCAGTTGCCTCGTGGACACAGGGCTGCTGGAGGCTTTGGGGCCAGTAGGGAGCTGGCCAAGTGGGCACGATGTGTTCTCAGACCGTCTTTGGCTGGACTGTGTTACCTGTGTCCAAGCCTCTCCTCCCTTCAGAGCATGGCGAAGGGGTGGTGCCCACCGGTGCTGTCTTCTAGGTGCCCCGGGACCCCCTGGCGTGCCCATCATTGTGCGCTACAGCTCTGCCATCGCCATCCACTGGTCCAGCGGGGACCCTGGCAAGGGCCCCATCACCCGCTACGTCCTAGAGGCCAGGCCTTCAGGTAGGTCCCTCCTGTCGCCCAGGATCCCGCCTCCTTTCCCTCTGTCTGCCCTCCACCTCCAAGGGGCTGTGTTGGGGGTGGGAGTGCAGACGGGGAGGGCATCCTGAGAGATGAGTTCCTAGCTCAGGGTCCTTCGGGAATAGAAGCAGCTGGCACGGACCAACGTGGGTTAGGGACCAACTTGAGCCCAAGATTGTCTTAGCTTTGGGCTCTCGTCTGCTGAAGCCCGGTGTCCTCCGAGTGACCCCAGCTGCCAGTGCCCCGTGACGGAGCGGCCACCATCTCCACGTCTCCCAGAGACCGTCCCTGCCTCTTTCAGCCCCGCCTCTGCCCTGGGCTCGTCCCATCAGCCCCTGTAATTGTACCGTCCTCTCCCTGACACTGAATCACAGGCACCTCCAAAGCCATCGTGAGAGGGATGGCTGATAAAGTCGCTCCGGTGGGTCTGCGGCCTGAGCTCGGCTTTCACAGCAGCCGGGCCACCCGCTCCTCGGGCCACCCGCTCCTCGGTGGCGGTGGTGGCAGTGGCGGCCTCCCGGAGTTGCCAGGTTTCTGGGCGAGTCAGAGGAGCTCGTCCGGGCAAGCTGGGGGCTGGTCTTTGTGTGCCCAGCACGCCTGCTGGGGTGATGGAAGTTGAGTGAGAAAAGAAAGATGTGGCTGGTTGGGTAGTGGCCGTCAGAGGACAAAGTCCAGGCTCTCAGCAGCTGGTATGATACCTCTGCCCGGGTGACCATGAAGAGCTGGGGGTCACCGAGAGTTCAGCCACCCAACAACGAGTCACTAATAATGCCAGAGCACTGCCCCTCACCGTCCTCAGTCACACAGGGATCCTAGGCCAAGCAATGCCGTCACGTGGCTAATCCGTTGGGCCCCTGGTCCAGCCCAGAGCCAGAGGCCGTGGGCCGGGTTGGCGCCGTGTCCCCCTCCAGATGGTCCCACCCGGCCCCCTCCAGTGCTCGCTGCCGCACTTGTTTGTGCGACTGGCGTCGTGGGCGGGTGGGGGCGCTGGGCTGAGGAATGTTGGCTGGGGACTTGGGCCCTGTTGATTTCCCAGCATCCCCTGGGCTGCCCAGCATGGGGCGGGGGGGGGGGGGTAGTTCTGGACTCTGATGGAAGACTGGGTCTGAGAAGAAACAGGGCGGTGACCTGGGTGGGGATGGGGACGAGAGGGTCAGGTGAGGGCGGTGGGCAGTAGGGCTGCTATTTACTTGTGAGCAGACCCCATTCTGCATGGGCTCCCCTCCTTCCTCATGCCCCCTGTCCTCCTCCCTGCTGCCTTCCTGCCCCTTGGTCCCAGCAGGAGGGGGCTCATGCACCTCCTCCCTTTAGGACAAAGTCATTCCTGCCCTGCCTGCCCCACAGCTCTGTGTGGCCTGGCCACTCAGAGCAGCGGGCACTGCAGACCCAGGGCAGGTGAACCCAGGGGACTTGCAGAGCCAAAGTGTGACATTCCAGTGGGCTCAGCCCGGGCCCATCCTTTGTCTCTGTGTGGGGTGGAACAAGAGGGGTCAGACAGCAGGCAGGAGGCCTCCAGCCCCCGACCCCCCCAAGAACCATCCTACACACAGTTGGCTTCCAGGGTGCCAGCCTGAGCAGGGCTGAAATAGCTGGCTCTCTCTGAGCCCTGGTTTGTTCTTCTGTAAAATGGGCTTAACAGCACCACACACGTGGTTGTTATAGAGACAGGAAGCCAAGCACGCCTTCCTCCGTGCGCCTGGCGTCTGTCTGCCTGCAAAGGGGCCTGCGTGCCAGGTCTATCTAACTCTGCCTCCTCCATAGCACGGCAGGGAGACATCCTCTCTCCCAGCCAGGCCAACGCCCCACAGAGCGTCCATCTGGCCTCCCAGTCACCCTGATGGATGGGTGCCGGCCGGCTGGGGCAGCCCCTCCACCTCCTGCGGCTCTTGAATTGGGGAGGCTGGGGGTGGTGGCAGGATTATGTCCCAAAGGGCCAAGACCCAGAGGGTCCCAGACAAAGGGCCTGAGAGGAGGCTAGGTGCTCAAAGGATGGTGTGTTCGGGGCCACATGATGAGAACAGAGGGGGAACCCCTCCCAGAAAGAAGCCAGCAACTGTTCCAGCCCTTTAGAACTTCTCTGTCTCTCTGACCCTGGATCCCAAGAAAGGAGAGTCTGGGGAACAGGCCACCCCTCGTGCAGCCCGAGTCCCCGTGCTGCTACTTAGAGGGCAAAAAGTAAAGGTGCGCCGGCTTTGCACTTCTGACTGGCAGCATCATTGTGTGCATTCTCCACGCGCGCGCGTGTGTGTGTGTGTGTGTGTGTGTGTGTGTGTGCGGTGTGGTGTGTGTTGTATGTATGTGTGTGGGATGTGGTGTGCCACGGCACCGCTCCAGCACACAGCAGACCCACATCACAGGACGCAACTGTTCTGAAGCTGTCAGAGTCACAGGAGAGGTTCGAACCTCTGACCTTGCAGTCCGAAGGTGGTGCTGACCCATGTCACCACCAGGGCTCCCCAAGAGAGCGTGCCCCTGTGTGCGCGTGTTCCATCTCACGTCCTTTGGCTGTGTGATCCAGAGAGTCCGAGGAAAGGAGGAAGACCCTCAAAGAGATGGGCCCACACGGGGCTTCCTCGATGGGCTGACAGAGCGGGACCCAGCCTTGTGGGAGGGAGTACTGACCCGTAGGTGCCTCAGTGGCAGCAAGTAGAGTTGCCGAGGAGTGCCAGGGTGGTCTCTAAAACAGACTCACTGCCTGGAGTCATTTCTGACCCGTAGGGACCCTGTAGGACAGGCAGGACTGTCGCTGTGGGTTTCTGAGACAGGGACTCTTTAGGGGAGCAGAGAGCGTCATCTTTCTCCCGAGGAGCGGCCGGTGGTTTTGAACTGCTGCCTTTGGGGTTAGCAGCCCAAAGGATACCCCATTGTCCCTCCAGGGCGCCTCAGTGGCCACTAAGTCAATTCTGACTCGGGGCAGCCAGGTGAGTCGGTGTGAAACTGCACACCCACTGTCTCGGGGACTGTTTCGTTCAGAAATAGATTGCTAGCTCTTTCTTTCAAGGCACCTCTGGGTGGACCCAAAAAACCCACTGCCCTCCCGTGGGTTCTAATTCCTTCGGACCCTAACTAGGGCGTCCAAGGCTATAAATCCTGCCCGGGGCACACAACCTCACCTTTCTCCTGCAGAGCTGCCAGTGGGTCAAAACTGGTGACCTGGTGATTAACAGCTCGATGCTATAAACCTGTACCATACTCACCACCCAGGGACACCTTTCCATGAGCAGTGAGCATGGCAGCTGATTGAAGCACCCCAAGGCCCCTCTCAGGAGGAGCAGGGTCAGAGAGTAAAGGAGACTAATCGCCCGGGGAGGAGATCCTTAGGCACCACTGAAAATCATGTGCACAGAGAGAGTCTAATAAACTCTAATTCTGGAAGCGAGCCAGCCAAAAGAACAAACAGCGAGCGGTCTTCGAAGTCCAGCCAGAATGCTCTTTAGAGGCAAGGATGGTGAGACTCCGTCTCCTCCTCTACTTTGGACAAGTGGTTGGGAGAGTCCAGCCCCTAGGAATGGATGCCACACTTAGTAAAGGAGCGGGCAGTTGAAAGAAGACCTTCGATGAGATGGATTGCCACAGAGGCTGCAACGATGGGCTCAAACGTAACCATTGTGAGGGTGGCGCAGGACCGGAGAGGGCTCCCCCTGCTGGACAAGGGGTGGCTGAGTTGGAGGGACTCAGGGGCACCTAACAATGACAGTAGCCACTCTTATGGTATGTCGCCAGACTCATGGTGGGGGCCGGGGGCACCTGGTTGCCATGACTCCAGCCTGTGCTCTGAGTAACCTCCAGTGGCAGGAGGGGGACCTGGGTTCAATTCCCGGCCAGTGCCCCTCATGTCCAGCCACCACCCACCCATCAGGGAGGGCTTAACAGTGGAACTTCCAGACTAAGACGAACTAGGAAGAAAGGCCTGGTGGTCCACTTCTGGAAATCAACCCGTGAGAGCCCTGTGGGCCACACCTGCCCGACCATGGGGCAGTGCTGGACCCAGGTGCCTGTGCGGGGCATGTCTGCATGTCCACGTGGTTTGGGTGGTACAGATAGCCTCACAAGGCAATGACAGTGTGGGTCAGAGGCTCCAAAAGCCATCATTTCCAATAGCAGCTTCCTGAAGACAAGGGGCACCGAGCTGCACCCTCATGGGCCCCCCCCCTCTATGCCCTTTTGCAGACGAGGGGCTCTGGGACATCCTCATCAAGGACATCCCCAAGGAGGTGACCTCCTATACCTTCAGCATGGACATCCTGAAGCCGGGCGTGAGCTATGACTTCCGGGTCATCGCCGTCAACGACTACGGCTTCGGGACCCCGAGCAGCCCCTCCCAGTCTGTCCCAGGTACAGGTGATGGGGGGCTGGCAGTGGGGTACAAAGCCCCCATCGTGGGGTGCCCCAGTGCAGTGAGCCCATGGTGCAGAACGCACAGGAAGTGGAGCCTCGGGCCTGTGGAGTTCATTTTCAGGGCCAGTGTCCCAGTGGATCAGTCCACAGGCCTGCAGCGCCCGCCAGCCAGGCCAGACATTGTGTTTCCATGGAAACCTCCCCAAAACCTGTGCAGGCAGCAGCCTGCATGCACACACCCTGGCCCCTGGCCTGAGCAGGGTCCAGGTGGGCAGAATGCCATGCCTCGCCTTTATCCCTTCCCGGCCCACCTTCCTGGAGCTCACCACGAACTGCAGTCACCAAACCTGTGACCCAGAACCAGAACCCAGTCTCGCAGGCGGTCATCTCTCACACATCCAATGCTCTGGGAACAACCCCCACTCCGCGGCCTCCTCCCACCACCCTTATCCAGATGGTAGGACCCCATGATGAAAAAGGACACTCCCTTGGGAACACAGAGAGAAGAGCCACACCCCTTGTCAATGGGTACTGAGAGGGGGACCCTGGTTGGAGGAGGACCGACCCCCTCATGTCTACTCACACCTCCCAGTGCCATGACCACCCACTCTCTGCACCAGGAAAAGATTCTGTTTAAACTTAACCCTGGAAGGCCTGCCAGGCCAGAGAAATGCCTTCCCCCATGTAATGTGGACCTGCCTATCAGGTTAGCCTTCCAGTTTCCAGGTGGCGGGGTTAAAAGAGAAGATGAAAAAAGAAACGTAGTAAGTGTACTATTATGTTTCCCATCTGTGCCTGAGCAGACATCACTAATCCATCTCGGAGCGCTTTCCTTGAGCCCAGATGCCATCTGGCAACCCTCCCAAGCAGCAGCGCCCCAGGCGCCCCCCGTGCCTGAGCTGGCATTTGGTAGGAAGCCACCGAGCTCCTCTTAGGTTCAGCTTGGCTCAGGGGGGCACAGAGCCAGCCCTACCCATGAACTGCGTGAGCAGACAGCCCCCTCCCTCCGTGTGCAGCCCAGAAGGCCAACCCGTTCTATGAGGAGTGGTGGTTCCTAGTGGTCATCGCCCTCGTCGGCCTCATCTTCATCCTGCTGCTGGTCTTTGTGCTCATCATCCGAGGCCAGAGCAAGAAGTACGCCAAGAAGACCGACTCCGGTGAGCAGGCGGGTCGTTGGGGGGCGGGGGGCACCTGAAGCTCCAGCTGGGAGCCATATGCTCACAAGAGAAAGGGGGCCCGCCTGGTCCGGTGGGAGGTGGGATGGGGTGAGGCCAGGTGACGCGAGGTCTAAGAGTGGAGTGGACTGATGGGTTCCCTTCCCTTTGCCCAGGGAACAGCGGCAAGTCCGGTGCCCTTGGCCACGGGGAGATGCTGAGCTTGGACGAGAGCAGCTTCCCTGCCCTGGAGCTCAACAACCGCCGGCTCTCCGTCAAGAACTCCTTCTGCCGCAAGAACGGCCTCTATACCAGGTAGCGGGGGCCCTACGTGGGGGCGAGGGGCCGAGGATGGAGGCTTGGGGGTGGGCGGCGGGGGGGGGGGTCCAGCTGGATCCCCATGTGGGGAATGCCGGGGGAGGAACAGAGAACAGGCAGCACCCATTCCATCTTACACATCCTGGGAAATGCTGGCACGTTCAGGGTCAGCAGAAAAACCCAGAAGGGCCGGCAGTGCCCCAGGGCCTTGTCCTGGTCCTCCCCTGCCCAGTAGGAAGTGGACCCAGAGGGCTTCCGCCAACGATAACAGAATTCAAATCACTTGGAAACCCTGCTGGTAGAAGTCAACCAATCCTGGCCCCAAGGCCGCAGCCCTGAAGCTGGCTTTGTCCAAAGGCAAGATGGACTCCTCTGTGGGTAGACGGGGGCCAACCCCCAAGAGATGCCGGGTGCTCCCCCATTCTCACCTAGTCCCTACCTGCTGCTGCCTCAGCCAGGAAAGAGGAGGTGCCCTGCAGTGTAGACCCCTTCTGCGGGGGCCCTTCTTCAGACCCACTCTAGAAGGATCTCCCCCACTCACCCCCAGGTACCCCACACAGGGTAGCAGTGCCTGAAAGCTGTCTTAAGCCAGCCTGCACTCCCCACCCCGTGGCCGACCAGGCTGACCTTTCCACAGGGGCCCACCAACCCTCACTTGATGTGCTTGGGTGGTTTTACTTTCCGGGGTGTCAAGGGACACTGGGGCCACTGGGCCAAGGGGGCTCTATCTCGGGCCTCAGCCCCTGTTAACATTCCGGCCTCATAAGAGGCGGCGTGCAGGGAGCCGGCTTCTCCCAGGCCTCACACACAAAGCCCCTCTGTCTCCTGGGAAGTGGAGAAGCAACGTGTGTGTTCATGGGGAGGAAGGGGGGGGGCGGGCAGTGCCGGCCGCCAGGCTGGGCTCTCACCCCTTTTCCCCCCCTACCCCCCCAGCAACCAGGCTCCCAAAGAAAGAGCTTTTTGAGGCTGCCACTGTGCCCGGCTCTCAGGGACCACGCCAGCCCTGCCAGGCTGGCTGCAGGGCCCTGCCACAGGCAACAAGGGTACCTTCAGGATGGCCTCCCCTCCTTATAGTGCCCCCCCTTCCTCACCCCCACAGTGTACATACTGGGAGGCCTCCCACCTTGCTGTGGACACACCGAAATCACTCCCTGCTCACACAGACCAGCTGGGGGGGGTGGGGGCTGGCGCCGGACCCCGCAGCCCAGAGGACTGAAGTTCACCTACCTGCCACTCCTTGGGTGAAAGAGGAGGCTGGCTGTGCCTGCAGCCTGTCTGTCCCTGCGCAGCCGCCGCAGAGAACCTTAGAGGGTAGGTAGGAGACGGGAGATGGGAGTCCGTTTGGTTTGGCAAATTGTCTTCAACTCACAGCTGCCAAGGGCAATGGTTCCTCAGTGCCCGTCCTCAAGTGACACCCAGGGCGCCTGCTGTACCTGACACCCCGAGACACCCATCTGAGCCAGGGCCCCGCTCCCCTCCTCTCAAGGTCATGTCGACAGGAGTCACCACCGCCAGCTCGGGCATCCTTGGCATCATGGAGACGTGGCCCTGCTGGTGGGCACAGTCTCAGCCTGCCTGGTGCAAGGGCTTGGTGGGTGGAGCCCTGGTGGCCTAGCAGGTTACGGCGTTGGGCTGGGAACCACAAGGTCAGCAGTCGGAAACCACCATCCCCTCCGTAGGAGAACAATGAGACTTTCTACTCCCACAAAGAGTCTCCATTCCCTGTCTTACAGGGTCAGTAGGAGTCAGGGTCGGCAGATAGGCAGCGAGAGTGGTCGGTGGCACATACTCAGGCCCCAGGCTTGCCCTCCGAGCTGGTTCTACAGCCATGGGTGGGCAGCTAGGGTTCAGAGCCAAGCTCATGGGAGAGACCTTCCTGGGGTGCCCTGGCACCCTCCACCCCGTCCTGAGAACCTGCCCACCATCCTCACCTCTGCTGCCCAGGGCTCCGGAGCACACAGCCCAGCTTTAGCCTAGGCCCCCAGGCCCCGGTCCTGCCTGAGCCCGTGTTCCGGGTTCTGGCTCCCTGGGCCGGGCACAGCTGAGAGCCAAGAACGGAGGTATGACTTGGCCCCCTGGAAGGTGACTCTCCTCCCCTCACCCTCTATACAGCCGCTTTCAGAGCTCCCTGGAGTGGAAGGGTCCTCTGTGGCACTCGCCTGCAGGCCCAGAATGGGCCTCACCTGGAGTCCCGCTGGGGAACGGGCAGGGCGTTTGTCTCTGAGTTGTGGGGATGGGAGTATCCATGCTGCTGAAAACAGAGACCACGTTGCCGCCTGTCACAAGGGGTGCTTACAGTCACCCCATGTGGCTCTACCTCGGTGGTCTTGGGACCCCAACTAGAGACTCATGACACCCTCCCCACTCTTACCTGGAGGCTCATGGGGCTGATCTCTGGGGCCTGCGACCCCCTGAGCCTCCCCGGCCCCCAGGCTGGGGCCCAGCTGTCCGAGGCCTGAGGAAGAACAGAGAGGAACAAGAGACATTGGGGAGAGGTGCCCATGCCGCTTGGCTACCCGTCCCCTGCCCACTGTCCTCACCCTTGCCTCCCAGGCTCAGGGGCATCCAGGGCTGGTTCTGGGGAGGCCTCTCACATCCTCACCACCCCTCTCCCCAGGTCTCCTCCAAGGCCCAGCCCGGGCAGCCTCCACTACTCGGACGAGGATGTCACCAAGTACAACGACCTCATCCCGGCCGAGAGCAGCAGCCTGACGGAGAAGCCCTCAGAAATCTCCGACTCTCAGGTGAGGCTTCGGCAGCCCCTTCCCTGCAGACCCAGGGCAGCCAACTTGGAGGGGGGGGGTGCGACCCAAAACTACCCAGAAGCCATCTGTATAGCTTGGTGTCCAGCTCTAGCATGGTCACTGGGATGCTGGGGCAAGATGGATGAGATGTCTTGGGGAACCTGGTCCTTGAGGCATGCGGGGCGGGGTGCGGGGGTGTCCCCGTCCCCAGTGTGCAGTAGCTCCGGCCTGCAAAAGGAAATGCCAGGGTCCAAGAGAGCGTCCTGGGGCGGGACCCAGGCCTGGGTGTTCGGAGGCCATGGGAACCGTTGAGTTCAGTAGCCGTTCGTAGGCAAACAGCTGTGCTCTGCCTCTTCCCACTCTGGCTTCACACGTGCACATGTGTATGTGCCCGTGTGTGCGTGATTTCTGAGAGCGCTGTACTTGGGATGTGGTTCAGAGAGAGGTATTCTGCCCGGGGGACAGATCTGAACTGAGCTCCAGATGCCAATCCGTGTTCCTGAGCCGGGGGCCTGGGCGTGCTGTCCATCTCTGGGCCTCCGTTTCTGCCTCTGTCCATGGGGTGGAAGGGGGCTGGGCTGTGACCGGAGGTTCTCTGAGGCCGCACGCAGAAGGGCCTGGCCCGTGGCCACCACTCGCTCAGCCACAGCCCTACTGTCAAGGAGGGGCCGGTGCCTGCGGAGACCTCTTGCGAAGGGTCACTCCAGGACACTCTGTCCTAGACCACATGGGGGGGTGGAGACAGTGCATTCCAGCGCTGAGCCGTTTCTACGGCCCCCTCCCCCCTCCCCTCCCAGCTCCGCCAGGCCTGCTGGTGTCCAGGAAGGGGCCCTGAAAGGCCACAGTGTCCCGGCCCCTGGACCTCTCCGCCCCATCCTGGGAGAGGAGGAGGACAGAGAGGGGCCAGCGGAGAGCAGGGCTCTTGGTGGGGTGGGAGGAAGCTTGAGATCTGGCCTCTCCCTCCCCCCGCCCCACCCCCACCCCACTCTTGCTGCCGCGTGTACAACCCAGGGTGACAGTGCAGAGCCCAGAGGCTGGCCCTGGGTGGCAGGGAGAGAGAATGGACGCCGTAGCCTGGTTGATGGGGAACCCAAAGGGGGAGGCGCTGCCATGCACCCCACCGGAAGTCCTACATCCTTAGCTCCTTGCAGTCACGTGAGGCCTCCGGGTCAATTCCGGGCCCGTTTTGGCCCCACATGTGCCAGGCAGGGCTGCCTCAGAGGTTACAAGCTGGGACCCTCTGGGAGTAGATTGGCAAGCCTTTCTCCAGAGGTGCCTCCAGGTGGGTTCGAACCGCCAATCTCCTGGCTAATAGCCGGGAGCTGTGTTAGGCCGGGTTGATTAGAGAAACCAATCCAGAGACACTCGTGTGTAAGAGAGAGGCCTTTTCCATACCTCCGTCTGAGGTGGCCAAGGCCGAGCAGGGAGGCCCGTGAGAGGCTACAGGACTGTGAGGCAGAGCCATGGGTGGGCTTCCTGCCCAGGGAGGAGAGGCCACGGGACTACGTGACCAAGAGGCATAAGCCGGGAGAGGCTCAGCTGCTGGCTGCGGAGAGATGCTGCTGCAGACTAATGGCCGTGTCTGCCCTGTTTGCTGCCCCTGGCTGGTGGGGTCCTGTCAGCCTCCCTGAGAAACCTCCTGGAGCCTGCGCATCGTCTGGGGCTCTGTGTGGCCACTGCCTCGAGCTACTCAGCCGTGATGGTCGGTCGGGGATCAGAGTAGATAAAGGAGGCGGGAGGCAGAGGAGGCATGTCTGACTCCCACCTCATGGCCAAGGGGATGCCAGACAAACCGAACTCGAAGTCAGTTCTGACGCACAGCGACTGTACAGAGCAGGGTGGAACTGCTCCTGTGTGTTTCTGAGAGGATGACTGTACAGGAGTAGAAAGCCTCATAGCTCACCCCACCCCCCAGGAGTAGCTGGTAATTTCAAACTGCTAACCTTGTGGTTAGCAGCCCAGCAAGTTACCACTGTGCCACCAGGGCTCCTGGGGGAGCCAGAGGAGATCAGCTATGCTCCCCGCCCCAGCACGTACGTGCACGCACACGTATACACACATACACACACACACACACACACACACACACACACACACTCCTCCGTGCCTTTCAGAACAGACAGACAGGTGGTGGAACTTAAGAGTGTGTTTTGAATCCATTGTCCTGGCTATGGGAGAAAGATGGGGCTTTCTACTCCCGTCCAGAGTTACAGCCCTGGAAACCCACAGGGCCGGGTCTACCCTGTCCTATAGAGTCACCTGAAGTCGGCATTGATTCAACGGCAGGGAGTTTGGTCTTGGGTTTGGTTGCTGGCTGGGCACCAGCCTTTGTTGGCGGAAGGAAGCCCTCTGGGCACCGGGTCGACTGCCTGTAGCTCACCTGTGCGCTGTCAGAATTGCCTGGAGGACAGAGGCCTGTGTTAGCCATTGAGAAACCGTGTGTGCACACGCAGCCGTGCCGGGCCCCCAGCCCTGGAGAGGCTGCTGTGGGGTGCTTGTGCCAGGACCTGGGACTTCAGAAGCTGCCCTTTGATGAGCAAAGAGGAGCCTGGCCGCCCCTGGAAGCCCGCCTGGAGTATTCAGAAGGAGCCCATCACGTGGCTGTGGTATCCATAGCAACCCAGGGCCGGTTGCTCCTGAACAGAGCACTTTGTGGGTTCTGGGAGATAGTTGTTGTAACAGAATGCCCACCTGCCCTTCTGGGGACCACTGACCACAGTCCTGCACCTGGGGCTTGGCGTGGTCCACAGTCTAGACTGCGTGGATTTATTTACTCGGAACGCCGAGGTCCCTGAAGACAGGAAGGACAGACAGGGTTGACAGCTGACAGGTGTGTGTTGAAAGGATGAAGATGTCTTTGGGAAAGTTACTCCACCTGAGCAGACTTAAGGGCAGTTAAGGTGCCCCAGGCAGCGAGAAAGCGGAGGGCCCTTGGGGAGATGGGTGGACACAGAGGCTGCAGCAGTGGGCTCAGGCACCGGGACAGTGGTGGGGACAGCGCAGGACCGGGCAGTGCTTCGTTCTGTTGTGCACAGGGTCGCCGTGGGTCGGAACCGACTCGATGGCACCTCACAACCACAAGGTGCCCCTGCCCTAAGCCTCGAGTTTCCAGTCCCCTCGTATGCACGTGGACCAGAGGAGCGCCGATGCCTTAGTTTGATGGTGCCACTGAAGAATATTGGAAGTACCGCGGACGGCCAAAGAACAGGCCCATTGGTCATGGACGGAGTACAGCCAGGATGCTCCTGAGGAGCCACGATGGTGAGACTTCGTCTGGCACGCTTCGGACACGTTACCGGGAAGGACCAGTCCCCAGAGAAGGACGCCGTGCTGGCTGGCTAGGGGAAGACCGTCAGGGAGATGGTGGGCGCCGTGGCTGCAGCAGTGGGCTCACACATTGCATTTGTGCGGAGGGTGCAAGCCCGGCGGTGTTCTGCTCTATTGTACATCAGGTCCCTGTGTGGGGGGACAGACTCCACAGCACAGGCAGCTGCAACAGCGGAGGCAGCGGTGAGCCAGCTAGAGAAGCCGAGGCTCACGGCAGACCGTTCTAGAAAGGCCCTCCCAACCCGCTGACAAGACACCGGCGAAGACCATACACGCTTTGTTTCCCGGCCCGTGGCTCAGCAGCGAGGGCTGCTGCTGTTTGAACGCCTGGCCCGTTCTCAGAGAACAGACACAGCCACCAGTGGATGCACCCTGAGGACAGTGCTCAAGCGGATCAAGTGGTTCCCAAGCAGCTCTGGGCAATGGGATCAATGGGGCAATTGTCCGAGGGGGAGCAGAGGGAGGGCTGCTTTGAGGACTGGCCGCTGCAGGTTTGGAGAGCAGCGCTCTAGGGGGGGTGAATGCAGCACAGTTCACCAGGCCCTGCGGGTGGGAGGCTCTCTGAGCTCTGGCCCTGTTGACACAAGGCAGGGGTCCGACTTTATCCCAAAGGCTGCAGAGGGAAGAGTGAATTCTGCGCTGATGAAGCCGTGCCGGAGTAGAGCCAGGCTGCTGCCAGGGCCCCCCGGACACAGCAGTCAGGCTTCCCTGGATGCTGGCCTCTCTAGAGAACCAGGCTCCTGGTTTAGAGCCACACGCAGGTGGTTGAGTGTTCCAGGAGGCCAGAGCCCTGTCATCTGAGCACCTACAAGTGGGTCAGCCCTCAGCATGTCCCCATCCCAGGGCACTGGTCAGCTAGCGGTGCCCATCGTCAAGACAGCCATTCCTGATGGAACCCCAAGGTGTCCCCAAGACCACCCGCCCCGCTGGAGCTATGAGGCTGTCTGGCCCGACTCTGGCCTCTCCTCTGGGCACCAGGGTGTTAGTGCCGTCGGCCAAGGGCCGCCGCCCCCCCCCCCCCCCCCCCCGTCAGCACTTACCCCATGAGCCCACTCTCTGACTAGTGTTGGAGACAGAGGTGACCAGGACATGGCCCTGCCCCAAGGGGCCAGGTGGATGGGGCTTGGAGCCAGAGTGGCCGGCCTTTCTTCAGCACCCTTGCCCTAAACCCAGAGGAGCCCAGCCAGCTGCGCCTCCTGGCAGAAGCAGCACCACACACCAGTGCAGGGGCTTCCTCCCACCCCCCTGCCCACCACTACATGCCTTCGTGGTAGGGGCACCTCCAGAAGATGCTGCTATTAGCTTGCCTGCTGTGGCCCAGGGGCCCCCTGTTCCCACCACTGGAGAGAACACAGCTGCCTATCTTTTGGACACACACCCCCTCGCCCCAGCTGGTGAGCCAGACCACCTCAACCCCCTCTCCAGAACCTCTGCCGTGTGGTGTGATAGACGCAAAGGCAGTCCAGCCTGGACAGGAGGGGCACCACAGGGTGAGGGAGGACAGCAGAGAGCTGCAGGGGACCCTCTGAAGTTCCACACAGTGCGGGTGCCCTCTCACCTAGAGAGCTGGGGCTTGGGATAGACGAAGGGGGGCTCACTGGGAGGGCAGAACTTCTGAAAGTGTAGGGCAGTTGCAACCCCACTCTACGGGCAGACCAGGAGCCCACGCTGAT